TAATAACATTAATATTACCACGTCATCGGCATTATAGCTGTAACTCCCTTAGTTTGACTCTAAAAGACTCAACAATGTTACACAATGTGCTCAACATATTGGTCTATCAGAAAAAAATATTTAAAAAAATCGTATACATAAATAAGAGGTCGAAATTGCGCGGCGTGCGCAAAAAAGTGATTTTTTACCGAAAAATTCGACCACATTCGGTCGTTGAAAACGCTGTAACTCCGTTAGTTTGACTCTAAAAGACTCAAAAATTTTACACAATGTGCTCAACATATTGGTCTATCAGATAAAAATATTAAAACAAATCTTACATATAAATAAGAGGTCGAAATTGCGCGCCGCGCGCATAAAAGTGATTTTATACCGAAAAATTCGACCACATTCGGTCGTGGAAAACGCTGTAACTCCGTTAGTTTGACTCTAAAAGACTCAAAAATTTTTCACAATGTGCTCAACATATTGGTCTATCAGAAAAAAATATTTTAAAAAAATCGCACATATATATAAGAGGTCGAAATTGCGCAGCGCGCGCAAAAAGTCTTTATACCGAAAAATTCGACCACATTCGGTCGTGGAAAGCGCTGTAACTCCGTTAGTTTGACTCTAAAAGACTCAAAAATTTTACACAATGTGCTCAACATATTGGTCTATCAGATAAAAATATTAAAACAAATCTTACATGTAAATAAGAGGTCGAAATTGCGCGGCGCGCGCAAAAAAGTGATTTTATACCGAAAAATTCGACCACATTCGGTCGTTGAAAACGCTGTAACTCCGTTAGTTTGACTCTAAAAGACTCTAAAATTTTACACAATATGCTCAACATATTGTCCACTCCCCGGATGCAGTGCATCATAGCTTGACTTGGCATGAACTTGAAAGTGGCGGATACCTTCCTGCATGAAGTGGACTCCAGGATGCAGTGCATCAAAACCCGAAGAGGTGGGTAGAAGTTTTTTTTTTTTAACCAAGTGATGACGTGGTCTTTTGTAAATGTAATGCAATTATTTAATTAAATATGTTAATTAAATTAATATGGCCACGTCATCGAGATCAATAATTTTAAATTTTTAACGTTTTCTTGCACCTATAATTCCCAACTCGTTCTGGCTGATTCGTAGTGGGATACCCCTTGATTTTGGTTAATTTCTCAAGTTCTCCGGGATGACCGGCAGTTTCTCTAAGAAACTCTCTCAGGTCTCTAGAAGTGTGTGTTTGTGCGTGTGAGTTGGTGATGTGGTTCCAGAGTGAGAGAGGGAGTATCCGGCCGACTCCTCCTACTGGAGTCCACTCCAGGATGCAGTGCATCATGGGTCGACTCCTCCTACTAGAGTTCACTCCCGGATGCAGTGCATCAAGGGTCGACGGCCCCTACTGGAGTCCACTCCCGGATGCAGTGCATCATAGCTTGACTTGGCATGAACTTGAAAGTGGCGGATACCTTCCTGCATGAAGTGGACTCCAGGATGCAGTGCATCAAAACCCGAAGAGGTGGGTAGAAGTTTTTTTTTAAGCAAGTGGTGACGTGGTCTTTTGTAAATGCAATGCAATTTTATTTAATTAAATATGTTAATTAAATTAAGATGGCCACGTCATCGACATCAATAATTTTAAATTTTTAACGTTTTCTTGCACCTATAATTCCCAACTCGTTCTGGCTGATTCGTAGTGGGATACCAATTTTGGCCAATTTATCAAGTTCTCCGGGATGACCGGCAGTTTCTCTAAGAAACTCTCTCAGGTCTCTAGAAGTGTGTGTGTGTGCGTGTGAGTTGGTGAAGTGGTTCCAGAGTGAGAGAGGGAGTATCCGGCCGACTCCTCCTACTGGAGTCCACTCCCGGATGCAGTGCATCATGGGTCGACTCCTCCTACTGGAGTCCACTCCAGGATGCAGTGCGTCATGGGTCGACTCCTCCTACTGGAGTCCACTCCCGGATGCAGTGCATCAAGGGTCGACTCCTCCTACTGGATTTCACACCGGATGCAGTGCATCAAAACCCGAAGAGGTGGGTAGCAGTTTTTTTTTTTAAGCAAGTGATGACGTGGTCTTTTGTAAATGTAATGCAATTATTTTATTAAATATAACGCTGTAACTCCGTTAGTTTGACTCTAAAAGACTCAAAAATTTTACACAATGTGCTCAACATATTGGTCTATCAGATAAAAATATTAAAAAAAATCTTACATATAAATAAGAAGTCGAAATTGCGCGGCGCGCGCAAAAAGTGATTTTATACCGAAAAATTCGACCACATTCAGTCGTTGAAAACGCTGTAACTCCGTTAGTTTGACTCTAAAAGACTCAAAAATTTTACACAATGTGCTCAACATATTGGTCTATCAGATAAAAATATTAAAACAAATCTTACATGTAAATAAGAGGTCAAAATTGCACGGCGCGCGCAAAAAAGTGATTTTATACCGAAAAATTCGACCACATTCGGTCGTTGAAATTGCTGTAACTCCGTTAGTTTGACTGTTAAAACGCTGTATCTCCGTTAGTTTGACTATAAATGACTCAACAATTTTACACAATGTTCTCAATATATTGGTCTTTTTGAAAAAAAATGTTTAAAAATTGAGAAATACAAATAGACGGGGGAACTGCGTGGGGAGCGCATTTAAAGTACTTGTAGACGTTAAAATTCGGTCTGTTAAAACGCTGTAACACATCAATTGATGACGTGCGTCACTTATTTTAAAAAAATGGTACTCACCCTATAGTGTTTGGAGGCACTGCATCCTATAGGCCACTAAACGCAGGAAGGGATCAGCATTAACTGCAACGGGAATGAGTTAAAAACATAATTAAATTTGGAAATAATAAGTGCAACAATACGTTTAAAATGTTTAATTATAATTACCGATGACGTGGCAATATTAATGTAATGTAATGTTAATGTAATGTGAATGTAATTTTAATAACATTAATATTACCACGTCATCGGCATTATAGCTGTAACTCCGTTAGTTTGACTCTAAAAGACTCAACAATGTTACACAATGTGCTCAACATATTGGTCTATCAGAAAAAAATATTTAAAAAAATCGTACACATAAATAAGAGGTCGAAATTGCGCGGCGCGCGCAAAAAAGTGATTTTTTACCGAAAAATTCGACCACATTCGGTCGTTGAAAACGCTGTAACTCCGTTAGTTTGACTCTAAAAGACTCAAAAATTTTACACAATGTGCTCAACATATTGGTCTATCAGATAAAAATATTAAAACAAATCTTACATATAAATAAGAGGTCGAAATTGCGCGCCGCGCGCAAAAAAGTGATTTTATACCGAAAAATTCGACCACATTCGGTCGTGGAAAACGCTGTAACTCCGTTAGTTTGACTCTAAAAGACTCAAAAATTTTACACAATGTGCTCAACATATTGGTCTATCAGATAAAAATATTAAAAAAATCTTACATATTAATAAGATGTCAAAATTGCGCGGCGCGCAAAAAAAGTGATTTTATACTGAAAAATTCGACCACATTCGGTCGTTGAAATTGCTGTAACTCCGTTAGTTCGACTGTTAAAACGCTGTATCTCCGTTAGTTTGACTATAAATGACTCAACAATTTTACACAATGTTCTCAATATATTGGTCTTTTTGAAAAAAATGTTTAAAAATTGAGAAATACAAATAGACGGGGAACTGCGTGGGGAGCGCATTTAAAGTACTTGTAGACGTTAAAATTCGGTCTGTTAAAACGCTGTAACACATCAATTGATGACGTGCGTCACTTATTTTAAAAAATGGTACTCACCCTATAGTGTTTGGAGGCACTGCATCCTATAGGCCACTAAACGCAGGAAGGGATCAGCATTAACTGCAACGGGAATGAGTTAAAAACATAATTAAATTTGGAAATAATAAGTGCAACAATACGTTTAAAATGTTTAATTATAATTACCGATGACGTGGCAATATTAATGTAATGTAATGTGAATGTAATTTTAATAACATTAATATTACCACGTCATCGGCATTATAGCTGTAACTCCGTTAGTTTGACTCTAAAAGACTCAACAATGTTACACAATGTGCTCAACATATTGGTCTATCAGAAAAAAATATTTAAAAAAATCGTACACATAAATAAGAGGTCGAAATTGCGCGGCGCGCGCAAAAAAGTGATTTTTTACCGAAAAATTCGACCACATTCGGTCGTTGAAAACGCTGTAACTCCGTTAGTTTGACTCTAAAAGACTCAAAATTTTACACAATGTGCTCAACATATTGGTCTATCAGATAAAAATATTAAAACAAATCTTACATATAAATAAGAGGTCGAAATTGCGCGCCGCGCGCAAAAAAGCGATTTTATACCGAAAAATTCGACCACATTCGGTCGTGGAAAACGCTGTAACTCCGTTAGTTTGACTCTAAAAGACTCAAAAATTTTTCACAATGTGCTCAACATATTGGTCTATCAGAAAAAAATATTTTAAAAAAATCGTACATATATATAAGAGGTCGAAATTGCGCAGCGCGCGCAAAAAAGTCTTTATACCGAAAAATTCGACCACATTCGGTCGTGGAAAGCGCTGTAACTCCGTTAGTTTGACTCTAAAAGACTCAAAAATTTTACACAATGTGCTCAACATATTGGTCTATCAGATAAAAATATTAAAACAAATCTTACATGTAAATAAGAGGTCAAAATTGCGCGGCGCGCGCAAAAAAGTGATTTTATACCGAAAAATTCGACCACATTCGGTCGTTGAAAACGCTGTAACTCCGTTAGTTTGACTCTAAAAGACTCTAAAATTTTACACAATATGCTCAACATATTGTCCACTCCCCGGATGCAGTGCATCATAGCTTGACTTGGCATGAACTTGAAAGTGGCGGATACTGCGTGGGGAGCGCATTTAAAGTACTTGTAGACGTTAAAATTCGGTCTGTTAAAACGCTGTAACACATCAATTGATGACGTGCGTCACTTATTTTAAAAAAATGGTACTCACCCTATAGTGTTTGGAGGCACTGCATCCTATAGGCCACTAAACGCAGGAAGGGATCAGCATTAACTGCAACGGGAATGAGTTAAAAACATAATTAAATTTGGAAATAATAAGTGCAACAATACGTTTAAAATGTTTAATTATAATTACCGATGACGTGGCAATATTAATGTAATGTAATGTTAATGTAATGTGAATGTAATTTTAATAACATTAATATTACCACGTCATCGGCATTATAGCTGTAACTCCCTTAGTTTGACTCTAAAAGACTCAACAATGTTACACAATGTGCTCAACATATTGGTCTATCAGAAAAGAATATTTAAAAAAATCGTATACATAAATAAGAGGTCGAAATTGCGCGGCGTGCGCAAAAAAGTGATTTTTTACCGAAAAATTCGACCACATTCGGTCGTTGAAAACGCTGTAACTCCGTTAGTTTGACTCTAAAAGACTCAAAAATTTTACACAATGTGCTCAACATATTGGTCTATCAGATAAAAATATTAAAACAAATCTTACATATAAATAAGAGGTCGAAATTGCGCGCCGCGCGCAAAAAAGTGATTTTATACCGAAAAATTCGACCACATTCGGTCGTGGAAAACGCTGTAACTCCGTTAGTTTGACTCTAAAAGACTCAAAAATTTTTCACAATGTGCTCAACATATTGGTCTATCAGAAAAAAATATTTAAAAAAATCGTACACATAAATAAGAGGTCGAAATTGCGCGGCGCGCGCAAAAAAGTGATTTTTTACCGAAAAATTCGACCACATTCGGTCGTTGAAAACGCTGTAACTCCGTTAGTTTGACTCTAAAAGACTCAAAAATTTTACACAATGTGCTCAACATATTGGTCTATCAGATAAAAATATTAAAACAAATCTTACATATAAATAAGAGGTCGAAATTGCGCGCCGCGCGCAAAAAAGCGATTTTATACCGAAAAATTCGACCACATTCGGTCGTGGAAAACGCTGTAACTCCGTTAGTTTGACTCTAAAAGACTCAAAAATTTTTCACAATGTGCTCAACATATTGGTCTATCAGAAAAAAATATTTTAAAAAAATCGTACATATATATAAGAGGTCGAAATTGCGCAGCGCGCGCAAAAAAGTCTTTATACCGAAAAATTCGACCACATTCGGTCGTGGAAAGCGCTGTAACTCCGTTAGTTTGACTCTAAAAGACTCAAAAATTTTACACAATGTGCTCAACATATTGGTCTATCAGATAAAAATATTAAAACAAATCTTACATGTAAATAAGAGGTCAAAATTGCGCGGCGCGCGCAAAAAAGTGATTTTATACCGAAAAATTCGACCACATTCGGTCGTTGAAAACGCTGTAACTCCGTTAGTTTGACTCTAAAAGACTCTAAAATTTTACACAATATGCTCAACATATTGTCCACTCCCCGGATGCAGTGCATCATAGCTTGACTTGGCATGAACTTGAAAGTGGCGGATACTGCGTGGGGAGCGCATTTAAAGTACTTGTAGACGTTAAAATTCGGTCTGTTAAAACGCTGTAACACATCAATTGATGACGTGCGTCACTTATTTTAAAAAAATGGTACTCACCCTATAGTGTTTGGAGGCACTGCATCCTATAGGCCACTAAACGCAGGAAGGGATCAGCATTAACTGCAACGGGAATGAGTTAAAAACATAATTAAATTTGGAAATAATAAGTGCAACAATACGTTTAAAATGTTTAATTATAATTACCGATGACGTGGCAATATTAATGTAATGTAATGTTAATGTAATGTGAATGTAATTTTAATAACATTAATATTACCACGTCATCGGCATTATAGCTGTAACTCCCTTAGTTTGACTCTAAAAGACTCAACAATGTTACACAATGTGCTCAACATATTGGTCTATCAGAAAAAAATATTTAAAAAAATCGTATACATAAATAAGAGGTCGAAATTGCGCGGCGTGCGCAAAAAAGTGATTTTTTACCGAAAAATTCGACCACATTCGGTCGTTGAAAACGCTGTAACTCCGTTAGTTTGACTCTAAAAGACTCAAAAATTTTACACAATGTGCTCAACATATTGGTCTATCAGATAAAAATATTAAAACAAATCTTACATGTAAATAAGAGGTCGAAATTGCGCGGCGCGCGCAAAAAAGTGATTTTATACCGAAAAATTCGACCACATTCGGTCGTTGAAAACGCTGTAACTCCGTTAGTTTGACTCTAAAAGACTCAAAAATTTTTCACAATGTGCTCAACATATTGGTCTATCAGAAAAAAATATTTTAAAAAAATCGTACATATATATAAGAGGTCGAAATTGCGCAGCGCGCGCAAAAAAGTCTTTATACCGAAAAATTCGACCACATTCGGTCGTGGAAAGCGCTGTAACTCCATTAGTTTAACTCTAAAAGACTCAAAAATTTTACACAATGTGCTCAACATATTGGTCTATCAGATAAAAATATTAAAACAAATCTTACATGTAAATAAGAGGTCGAAATTGCGCGGCGCGCGCAAAAAAGTGATTTTATACCGAAAAATTCGACCACATTCGGTCGTTGAAAACGCTGTAACTCCGTTAGTTTGACTCTAAAAGACTCTAAAATTTTACACAATATGCTCAACATATTGTCCACTCCCGGATGCAGTGCATCATAGCTTGACTTGGCATGAACTTGAAAGTGGCGGATACCTTCCTGCATGAAGTGGACTCCAGGATGCAGTGCATCAAAACCCGAAGAGGTGGGTAGAAGTTTTTTTTTTTTTTTAACCAAGTGATGACGTGGTCTTTTGTAAATGTAATACCCCTTGATTTTGGTTAATTTCTCAAGTTCTCCGGGATGACCGGCAGTTTCTCTAAGAAACTCTCTCAGGTCTCTAGAAGTGTGTGTGTGTGCGTGTGAGTTGGTGATGTGGTTCCAGAGTGAGAGAGGGAGTATCCGGCCGACTCCTCCTACTGGAGTCCACTCCAGGATGCAGTGCATCATGGGTCGACTCCTCCTACTAGAGTTCACTCCCGGATGCAGTGCATCAAGGGTCGACGGCCCCTACTGGAGTCCACTCCCGGATGCAGTGCATCATAGCTTGACTTGGCATGAACTTGAAAGTGGCGGATACCTTCCTGCATGAAGTGGACTCCAGGATGCAGTGCATCAAAACCCGAAGAGGTGGGTAGAAGTTTTTTTTTTAAGCAAGTGGTGACGTGGTCTTTTGTAAATGCAATGCAATTATTTAATTAAATATGTTAATTAAATTAAGATGGCCACGTCATCGACATCAATAATTTTAAATTTTTAACGTTTTCTTGCACCTATAATTCCCAACTCGTTCTGGCTAATTCGTAGTGGGATACCAATTTTGGCCAATTTATCAAGTTCTCCGGGATGACCGGCAGTTTCTCTAAGAAACTCTCTCAGGTCTCTAGAAGTGTGTGTGTGTGCGTGTGAGTTGGTTAAGTGGTTCCAGAGTGAGAGAGGGAGTATCCGGCCGACTCCTCCTACTGGAGTCCACTCCCGGATGCAGTGCATCATGGGTCGACTCCTCCTACTGGAGTCCACTCCAGGATGCAGTGCGTCATGGGTCGACTCCTCCTACTGGAGTCCACTCCCGGATGCAGTGCATCAAGGGTCGACTCCTCCTACTGGATTTCACACCGGATGCAGTGCATCAAAACCCGAAGAGGTGGGTAGCAGTTTTTTTTTTTTAAGCAAGTGATGACGTGGTCTTTTGTAAATGTAATGCAATTATTTTATTAAATATAACGCTGTAACTCCGTTAGTTTGACTCTAAAAGACTCAAAAATTTTACACAATGTGCTCAACATATTGGTCTATCAGATAAAAATATTAAAAACAAGAAAGGAAGCTAGCTTCGGCAAGCCGAAGCTTATATACCCTTGCAGTCATTAAATATGTCAAACAAAATACATAAAGGCTAACAACATCGAATCTATGACGATTTTTCTATTATTTACCATATTGTTCATATGACAGCTATATGATATAGTCGTCCGATTTTGATAAAATTTAATATGTAACTCAAGACTCATTAGAAAACTCTATATTCCAAAAATCATGATTGTCTGATGAAAAACAACGAGGTTATAATTTTATTTCCGTTATTTCTATATAGATTTTTTGATCTCTCCTATGGCAGCTATATGATAGAGTTATCCGATTTTGATAAAATTTAATACAAAATTCAATAGCAGTTAGAAAACGCCATCTGGAAGAAATCAAGTCGATCTGATCAAAAACAACGGAGTAAGAATTTTTTATTTCATTCTCTTGTATGGGAGCTATCCGATATAGTTGGCCGATCCGGCTCGTTCCGACTTATATACTGCGTGCAATAACTACACAACTTTTGGGAAAGTTTCAGCAAGATAGCTTCAAAACTGAGAGACTAGTTTACATAGAAACAGACAGACGGACAGACGGACAGACGGACAGACGGACCGACGGACCGACGGACAGACGGACAGACGGACAGACGTACATACATATTTCGATTCAGATGGTGATGCTGATCAAGAATATATATACTTTATGGGGTCTGAGGTGTCCTTCACTGCGTTGCAAACTTCTGACTGAAATTATAATACCCTTTTGCTCTGCAAGGGTATAAAAATCTTACATATAAATAAGAAGTCGAAATTGCGCGGCGCGCGCAAAAAAGTGATTTTATACCGAAAAATTCGACCACATTCGGTCGTTGAAAACGCTGTAACTCCGTTAGTTAGACTCTAAAAGACTCTAAAATTTTACACAATATGCTCAACATATTGTCCACTCCCGGATGCAGTGCATCATAGCTTGACTTGGCATGAACTTGAAAGTGGCGGATACCTTCCTGCATGAAGTGGACTCCAGGATGCAGTGCATCAAAACCCGAAGAGGTGGGTAGAATTTTTTTTTTTTTAAGCAAGTGATGGCGTGGTCTTTTGTAAATGCAATGCAATTATTTAATTAAATATGTTAATTAAATTAAGATGGCCACGTCATCGACATCAATAATTTTAAATTTTTAACGTTTTCTTGCACCTATAATTCCCAACTCGTTCTGGCTGATTCGTAGTGGGATACCAATTTTGGCCAATTTATCAAGTTCTCCGGGATGACCGGCAGTTTCTCTAAGAAACTCTCTCAGGTCTCTAGAAGTGTGTGTGTGTGCGTGTGAGTTGGTGAAGTGGTTCCAGAGTGAGAGAGGGAGTATCCGGCCGACTCCTCCTACTGGAGTCCACTCCCGGATGCAGTGCATCATGGGTCGACTCCTCCTACTGGAGTCCACTCCAGGATGCAGTGCGTCATGGGTCGACTCCTCCTACTGGAGTCCACTCCCGGATGCAGTGCATCAAAGCCCGAAGAGGTGGGTAGCAGTTTTTTTTTTTTAACCAAGTGATGACGTGGTCTTTTGTAAATGTAATGCAATTATTTAATTAAATATGTTAATTAAATTAATATGGCCACGTCATCGAGATCAATAATTTTAAATTTTTAACGTTTTCTTGCACCTATAATTCCCAACTCGTTCTGGCTGATTCGTAGTGGGATACCCTTGATTTTGGCCAATTTCTCAAGTTCTCCGGGATGACCGGTAGTTTCTCTAAGAAACTCTCTCAGGTCTTTAGAAGTGTGTGTGTGTGCGTGTGAGTTGGTGATGTGGTTTCAGAGTGAGAGAGGGAGTATCCGGCCGACTCCTCCTTCTGGAGTCCACTCCAGGATGCAGTGCATCAAAGCCCGAAGAGGTGGGTAGCAGTTTTTTTTTTTTAACCAAGTGATGACGTGGTCTTTTGTAAATGTAATGCAATTATTTTATAAAATATTATTTTATTTTATTTCAGGTTTTTGGTTGTGTGTTTGGCTGCTTGCAGAAAATAATTGGTGACACCATCTTACTTGTAACTTGGAGTTGGATATTAGGATGTAGTGCACCAAGTTTTTTTCGCAGTGAGTACATCAATTAGACAGTATATAATTAAGTTATTAATTTTAAGATCAATCAAGAGCAAAAGATAAAGATCTGAAATTATTCAAGAACAATAAGAAAGAAATTCAAAAGGTGATTTTGTTCAAATAATGAACTTGAAGTACTCCTAAATCAAACACAATTAATTATCTAAAACAACTAGGGTCATCTTATAATAATATATATAGTAAGAATAGTTGTAAGAATGCGGTTACCGGAGATATATGCTGATACCTCCAAAATGGACTGAAGAACAGGCTGCAAGATCAAGGATTAATGGCGAGATCTTCTATTGAACTCCACTCCAGGATGCAGTGCATCAACTCATTGGGGTATGTATTTTTTTGAGTAATTGATTTGTATTGAATAATTTAACTAATATTTTGAAATCCTTCTTTTCATTACAGGTGATGACTATAACTTCCTTCTTGGAGTGAACTTCAAGATGCAGTGAATCAATAACCCAAAGAGGTAAATACCTTTTTTTACTAACAAATCAATACTAACTCTTACTGTAACAAAGGTTTTGCAACAAATTACTTATTTTATTTTATGTTTCTTATTTAATTTCAGGTTAAAGTGTAAAGTGTAAAGTTTGTGGATAAAGTGGTTGCAGTTATTATATTACTTCAAGAAGACGAAAGATTGCAGTGCATCAAGGCTTTTCGCAGTGAGTACATGAATT